GGGGAACACAGATGTAAGAGCAACTGATTTGCTGCTGAGGAAGAAGCTTCCAATAGCTGAGAGCTGCACTTGGAGTTTTTTTTCCTAAGTGAGGTGCTTTTAAATTGCCTTTACTTCAATTTTAATATTATAGTGTATTTATTTAGTGTTAATATTTGTCTGTTTGTGTGTGTGTGTGTGTGTGTTTGAGAGAGAGAGAGAGAGAGAGAGAGAGGCTCCAGTTTTGGAGAAGGGAGAAAACACATCCCTAAATAAACAAATAAAGGATGTAGCCCCATCCTTGTGAAGGGAACACAATCACTCACTCACAAACTCACACACTTCTCCCTGTGTGTGTGTGTGTGTGTCTGGACAACATATGCCATTTTTCAGCTAAAAGCTCCCAAGGCCACTGTCAAGGCTACCATACTGAAAAATAATAAAACAAATTACATGACAAAACACATGTAAAGGCATTGTGTCTGCATTTGGAAAGTGATAATGGTAATCTGAAGTGACTCTCTCATCAATATTTTAGTGGGACAAACCACTAAATCCAGTAAAAAGGTTCATTGTCACCTTGTCTCCTTGATTCTAAAAATAAAGAATAAAAATACGGCAAGCCTGCTATTAAGCCAGCAGTGTAGAGAAGGGAGGTCTGATTCAGTTCTTCTGCCCTATGCAATATGGCAGCATGGCAGGGCTCACCTTCTGCAAAAGCAGAAGGCCCCAACCAGTCACAACTTGCTGCTGAGACAATCCGTGATGCAGACATGTTAAGTCTGACAAAAATACAGCAGGGTGGGATTCACAGACGGAAAAACAACTTATACAACAAAAAAGCAAACCCACCTTGGCCATAACAGGTGCAAAGGAAATCATCTCCTTATCAGATGTTTGTTAACTGTTTCCTTTACTGTCTTTTCCTGCTTAGAGGAAGAACATGGCAAGAGCCAAAAGTGATTCATTCATTCATTTACTGTGATATGAATTCCCGCCTCAATCAAAGGGTTTATATTGTACAAGTAAACAATTTAGAGATGGGCCCAGAATAAAACCATAAATAGATTTTTTTTTCTCCCTCCGCTTTACCTAATGCACTTGAAAGATAAGAGGACTACTCGGGGGCGGGAGAGAAGGAGGGAGTCACGTGGACTGTCCTTATTTGCCATGCTTTAGAGATGTGTTTCTCAGGATCCCAGACGTGATGGGTAGGAATGGCGACAGCAAAAGATTTGGGGGGGG